GTTGGTGTGTGCTCTTCCTGGATGGAATGAAAAGTAAAGAAGCCAGAGGCTGTGCTGGTATGCATACAAGACAGGCAGTCAGTGAAAATGTAGATTGTTTCATTTTTCTTCTCTTGAAATTCTTATACCCTGAGAGCCCAGCACCCCATGCATCTGCTCCAAGCACCCCCTGCCTGGCAATGGTGCAAGTGATGTGGGGCTTCATGTGCCCCAATCACCTGTGGATAGCTGCAGCAGTAGGCAGGCCTCGGCTTCTTCACCTGCTCCATGCTTGGTCCCCCCTGGTATCCCCTGCCAATCCAGGGCTCCAAACATGCTTTGGACTCCACGGGGGACCCAGGCATTTGAGGCTCCAGGGAAGGGGAGCACTTACAGGGGATCCACACTGTTGAAGTGGGGTGCAACTGCACCATTGCAGTCCCTCCACCCTCTCCTCCCTGCCACAGCAGATCTGCCCTGGATCACATCCATGTTTATGGCTTATGAATATCTTGTGTTGCTTTGTTTTGTTCATATGTAGTTGATAAACCCACTCTCTCTTTTGAAGGAAAATTACTTATGGAAATTTTTCATGGAGTGAGTAGGTGTTGCATTTTATGATATGATAAAATATCATATATATATATATATATATTTGTATTAAAAAAGAAAAACTGGGGGTTTTGCTACACTGTAACAGGGAGGCCTTCTAGGGGCCGATTTTGACCTTGGCCCTCCCACCTGTTTCTTGGCCAACCGCCTGCCTTCCCCCCCGCCACGCCTTGTTGTTAATTAATTAATGATCTTAATTAGGTGGGAGGCTGCCCATTTCTTGCCCCGATGCCTGGGAGCGCTATCTGCTATTCCATTCCTCCCCAACCCCGCAGCCCATGCCTCGCAGATGGTATTTATAATTTCCTCTTTATGTTGCGGTCTCAGCCACTGTTGGCTTACCCCTTCTCTCTTTAGCTAGACCTGTCAGCCAGAACAACTCACCCCACTAATCAGGGCTTAACTCCAAGGCTCTAGCTCTCAAAAGTCACTCGGGCTCCTGCACCCTCTCTGGCGCTGGGGTCTACTCCATGCCCCCCGAATACTACACCCTCTCTGGTGCTGGGATCTGCTCACCCCTGGATATCATACCCACAGTGGTGCTGGGTCCCCATACTGTGGTGGGGCCCCAATGAGGCCTCCTCCTTTCCCAAATAGCCTCATCCGAGTCCTCCGGTTATTAACATCCAATGCAAAACATAGGCTTCTGTGGCCATATAATGGAAAAATAGTCATAAATAAATAAGAGAGCTAACATGCCTACTTACTTTAGATGATCATGCTTCTTGCTCACAGTGTGGCGTATTTTTCTGAAAGAAGCTATGGCCATGGCACTGTGGTCATTGGGAGTGCCCCTCTCTGCTGCCCCTCTGACCTTCTCCACTCGCCATTTATAGGGTTCTGGCCTTCCTCTTCCTGTCACCTGACTGGCTGGCAGGGCTTGAGCCTTTGCCCTTACTTGATCGGCCGGCCAAGACTGGAAGATTCTGGATTTAAAGGAACCACCCTGCAATGTTCCCTCTAAGGAGTACCTGTCCATGAGTGTGTTGCTTTGGTTCATGAGTGGGCCGTTTTAGAGCCGGCGGAGCCCACGGAGCAGTTCCCCCATGCTTGCCCGTGCATGCAGCAGTGGGAGCCGCCCTCCCTGCATCTCCATGGCCCCCAAATGAGCTGCTCACAGCTCCATTCCATGCCCGACACTAGATGGGCAGCGCCTGTTAACGCCCCTTCGCTTCACTACCCAGGGCAGTCGTCCTGCTTGCCCCAACCCTGCTATGGCACAGTGTCTTCCCTCTTCCTATAATGGTGCGAAGTGCCAAAGAGAATCTATGATGTGAGGAACAGACAATGATTTTGAAGAGAAGTATTTTTTGTCAAGACTAAAAATATAACCAACAGTGAAACTTTTATCTGTTCCAGTTAGCGGTCTGATTTATTTTTAATTACTGTCCAACCTTAATGATGATTTAAGTACAGTGCTCTGTAGCGCAAATGATAAGAGAACTATTTTTGTTCCATTTATAAGAGGAAAAATACCAAGTGTTGTTTTTAATATTCTACTTGGACTCGCTTCAGTTCTGAATTTAAATACAATTTTTTTTTTTCAATATAAAAAGCAATTCTAGTAACTGGTGTAGAACTTTTAGATTAAGGGCTTCTGTTTCCCTAACAGTTTGCTGCAGAGCAAAATATTTTTCCATTAGTAGCTAGTGAGCAGTGATCCGTGGGCTCCGCCGGCTCCGGGGAACTGCTCGTCTCTCCAGTCCTGATGCCACATGCCTCCTCACTTCCCGAGGTGATGCAGGAGGGAGGAGCTATTCCCTGGAGCCGGAGGAGCCTGCACCAGCCCCCGCCCCTGTCCCTGTCCCCATCCCTGTCTTCGGCAAGAGCTGCTGCCTGCCCTGCAGTGAGGAGCTTACTTAAGTGTCCCATTCCGGCTCTGGTGTCTCTGCCGCACTCAGCGTCAAGCTCTTCTCTGGGTGGGTGCACGGCATGTAGAAGTTCATGCGCGGCAAGATTTTTCATTGTGTGCAGCATGCATGCGCCCACCTTAGAGGGAACACTGCCACCCTGTCTCTTGGTAACAGGGATAGGGTTCCCTGTTACAGGTTCACAGGACCATGCCTTTCATGTGGGAGATGACCCATATTCTGGTGCCCTGGGCACTTGTGCCTATGCCCCACCCTAATATCTCTGGAAGAGGGGACATCAGTTTTTCAGTGCTCCATTCTGAACTCCTGCCTTGGCTTCCCTGAGGCAGCCCTGGCCAGCAGCTGGCTTGGCTTTTACCCCACCCTGAAACTGCTGTTAAAAAGTGGCCAGCCAAACCACTGCCAATTGGCAGCAGCACCAACTCCTCCTAGCGGGAGAGGTGGGGCCTTGGCTTGGTGTTGGCCCTCAGTCCACCGGAGGCTATGGACACTAGGTAGAGCTAAATGCTGCCTGACATGAGGAGCTGTACACCTAGCTGTTAGCCTTGCTTTCCCCGGATCTGTGGTGAATCTCACACTGGGGGAAGGGCCCTTCCAGTTCCAGTTCCCATCCCTGCCCCTGCCCCTGCCCCTACACCTTGCCCTGTCCCTAGGCCCAGACCCATCCCTCCATACTTCCCCAATCCACCTACCTTGGTCCCAGGTTCCTCCCCACAGCACACAGAGAGGTGAGACACAGCTCAGAACTTTATTGAGTGGGCTGTGTCTCTGTAGTTGGGTGAGAGCAGGGCTCTCGCATACTGATGAAGGTGTCGGTCCCCTTGGTGTTTTCCTCCTTGGCAGCTGGGATCAGGAACGTGCTGTGACAGATAGCCCTCTAGGCAGTGGCAGAGGTTGCAGAGCAGTCTGGGCTTGCCCTCCATATCATTGTAGCTCAGGGTCCTGAACCAGGAGTGCAGGTGTGACTGGGGCACTAGCAGGATCATCATCAGCAGGGTGTAGTGGCCTGGGCTGCCCTCTGCCTGTACAAAAAACCCATTGTGAACCATGAACAGCACACATAGTAGGGACATGCTAATGGCACAGCAGCATTTTGGCTGGGGGCTGAACCCTGGTTGCTTCCCTGGAAAGGTCCCAAGTGCGGAGGGCGGGGGTGTGGCCAGCCCCTTACCCCAGTTCTCCAAAAGTTCTGTATGCAGTTAGGCTTGGTTCCAGGGGCTGGGCAGCATGTATGGCATAGCAGTGGGCCTGCAGGGGTGGGGCAGAGGTCAGTTGAGGATGGTGCCAAAGCAGCTGGTGCTGCCAGCATCCTGGTCTTGCCTGCGCTGGGAATGAGGCAGGGGAGGCAGGTGGCCTACAGCCAGCCCCCAGTGAGAAAGCAGGGATAGGGGGCTCAGGCAGCAGCCACTTTGGTCCAGGCCTGCCCGTCCAGTTTACCATGGTACCTGGGCACCCACATGCAGCTAACCTCCAATCTGAGGTCAGGCAGTGAAGGGCCCCTGGAGCAGAACATCTTAGCTCTGAAATGTTGCAAACTCTCACAAAAGCCTTCTGTCTCTTGCCTCTGCAGGTCAACATCAGGACACAAGGGAGAGGCCACAGGGGCCTGCAGCACCACTGCTGAAGTTTTGCTATTATCTGCTGTTGGAGCCACTTGCCTGCTCTGGTGGCTGATGGTTGCAGTGGGGGGCTGGGTGGCTGACTATTGGGTGTGGTGGGAGGAGGACCTCATCCAGGAGGCTGCCCAGGAGGAGGCACAGCTGCAGGAGTGGTAGTGATCCTGGAGTGGTGGCATCCCTGGACCCTTGAGCTGGAGATCCTTGAGTAGTGGTACATGGAGCTGCTGGAGCAGTAACTGGATGCCCAGGGCCATGCAGGGGAGTCTGTGACCATGCCTCCCCGCATCTGGCCCCCAACTCTGGCCCCAGCCCCACAGGAATCCTGGGTCCTGCCTGACACCATACAGCAGTCCTCTGACAGCAAATCTTAAAAGCACAATCTCACCTGGGGGCTGAGCAGGGATCAGAGGGTGAGATTGTGTTTTTAAGATGACTGCCAAGTTCTGGCAGCTGCCTCTGGCCTCAGAATGGCTGCCAAGTGCTAGCAGACATGTGATCAGAGGCCAGAGCTCCCCCTAGTGATCACAGAGGCACATGGCAGGCTACTCTGACCTGGTTCTTAATCTAGTCCCAGGTCACCTGCACATGTAGATGCTGACCCTATTCCAGTTGACTGTACAGTAAATTACTGAGTGCTCAATTTAATGCAACGTAAATGCATGTGTAGATGCACCTAGTCTGAATAGCATGAATTCTTGGCTCCCAGTTTCTTGCTTTCTAGCCAGTAGTCAAAATTAGAGATAGTGACTATGCTAAAAAAAACAGGCGACATTTCGAGGTGAACGACAAAGCCATACACCACCGGTATTTATCTCACATAATATTGGGCAACTGCTGATTAATGAGCTTGGGTAATAATAGCCATGGTACATGACTCAGTGTGCTCTTCAGTAATTCTGTCCTGCTTCTCTATTTCAAGGCATAATCAATGATGTGAAGCTGATGAATGGTAGCAGTCCATGTGCTGGCAGAACAGAGGTAAAATTTGGAGATCACTGGATGAAAATATGTTCTGCTGCTGCATATATGAAACAGTTTGTGATACTTTGCAAACAACTTGGGTATGGCTCTGCAATGAGTATCCATATTGCCAGCCATTTTGGGGAGGATTCCAGACTCTACATGGTTACAGGATTTCTTTGTCATGGTAACGAGGCATCAGTCTGGGATTGCAAGAGAACTCCCTACATTCTGGAGTCAACATGCCCTCCTTCTTTCTATGCTGGAGTGACGTGCTCAGGTAAGAAACTAGCCATGCCTCCACCTGTCAGGAAATTGCCACGGAAGAAAAGAGACTCAAAAAGAATGTCTCATCCTTGTGAAACAACATGAAAATGGGGAAATATCTTCAACTCCTATAACTGTTGTGCTCACTTGGAGCGAACAAATCCAAGTGTAATTCCCAATTCCGGTATCTTTAGAATCCCTTGATTAGCCTAAGTCCACTTCTCCCAATATCATATTCCCTATTTACTGTTTGTAGGATTTACTTCATTTTCGAATTTGAAAAGTTGTTTGCATTTAATAAGCTGTTGTATTTGGGAACTTAAATTATATTAATCTATATATAGCAGGGGATTCCAAGTACCCGCCAGGGGTACTTGACACGGTCCTAGTGGGTATGTGTGGGCAGGAAGGGATGGAGCGCCGCCGCCTCCCAGGAGCAGGGCTGGGGCCTGGTGAGGGCAGCAGTGTCCCTCTACGGGGCGGGGAAGCTTGCACGCAGTCGCCACTGCCATGACCCACTAGCTTGGTGAGCTTCTCTGCCCCACCCTGCCCCTGCTTCTGGGAGGGGGCGGTGGTCTTTCTCCACCTCTCTGCTCTGTGTCTGGCTATGCGCCACCCTGCTTCCCCCCACATCCGACCACTGGGGATACTTGGAATAAAAAAGCTTGACAATCTCTGATATATAGTATCCAAGAACTTGTACTGGAATTCTGTATAATCCTGCATAGAGATTTCTTTCCTAGTAGCATAGAGAGTTATTTCAGATGCAACATCCTGAAGGTCATTTTCATGCAAGAGCCTTATATAATCTGAAGTCTTTCATCTAGGGATGAAAAAGGAGGCATACAAACTGTGGAAGCAGGGGATAACAAAGGAGGAATATACCTATTTGGCTCGCACTTGCAGGAAGTTAGTAAGGAAGTCCAAAGCAGTAATGGAACTCAGGCTGGCAACACAAATTAAGGACAACAAGAAGTCCTTTTTCAGGAATATAGGGAGCAAAAAGAGGGTTCAGGGTAACATAGGACCCCTACAGGACAGGCTAGGGCAATTAGTGACAGATAGAAGGGACAAAGCTGAGCTCTTCAATGACTTTTTTGCATCAGTATTCCTGAACACAGAGAAAGACATATGACCTAACTGGACTATAGACAGGCACAGAAGGGACACCCGCCCATGTACAGTTACTGTTGACCTAGTGAAAGAGCACTTGGAAGGGCTTGACATGTTCAAATCAGCAGGCCCACATGATATTCATTCAAGGCTGCTGAAGGAATTGGCTGATGCCATAGCAGAACCACTGACGACACTGTTTGACCCCTCATGCTGCTCAGAACGTCCAAAGGGACTGGAAAAGGGCAAGTGTGGTGCCTATTTTCCAAAAGGTGGAAGAAGGAGGATCTGGATAACTATAGACCAGTTAATCTCACCTCTATCCTTGAGAAAACCTTTGAAAAAATTATTATGGAACACATTTCTGTGAGACCAGCAGGAAAAGCAATGCTGAAGGGAAACCAGCATGGATTTATAACAGGTCGATCCTGCCTGACAAACCGTGTTTCTTTTTACAACCAGGTCACAAACTGCTTAGATGCAGGAGTCGAGGTGGATGTCAGATACTTGGATTTTTTAAAAGTTTTTGATACAGTATCACAGCCCATTTTCATTAAAAAACTGAGTGGCTGTGACTTAGATGATTACACAGTCAGTTGGGTGGCAAATTGGCTAATGGGATGTGCCCAGAGTGGTGGTGGATGGATTGGTATCAACCTGGAAGGACATGAGCAGAGGTATTCCCCAGGGTTTGGTCCTCGGGCCAGTGCTGTTCAACAACTTCATCAGTGATTTGGACAAGGCCTTAGAGAGCACGCTGTCCAAATTTGTGGATGACACCAATTATGGGACAAAGCAGACACACTGGAGGGCAAGGAGTGGATTTGGTGGATTTCAACAAGCTGGAAATGTGGGCAGAACAAAATAGGATATAGTTCATAAAGGATAAGTGCAGAGTACTGCACCTATGGAGAAGGAATCACCAACACACATACAAGTAGGGGGATGGCTTTCTAAGCAGCACAGCAGCAGAAAGGGATCTTGGAGTCATAGTTGAATCAAAGATGAATATGAGTCAAGATTGTGACAAAGTAGTCGATAGAGCTAACCGCACTCTATCATGCATTCATAGATGCACCATGAACAGGTCTTGGGAGGTAACACTTTCCCTCTATGGGGGGCACTGATAAGACTGCATCTGGAGTACTGTGTTCAGTCTTGGGCGCCACAATTGAAAAGGGATATGGCTAGCCTTGAGAGGGTCCAGAGGAGGGCCACTCATATGATTAGGGTCCTGCAAGATAGGTCCTATGAGGAAAGGCTGAGGGGACCTGGTTCTCTTTAGCCTCCGTAAGAGAAGGCTGAGAGGGGGTTCGGTGGTTGTCTACATATTTGTCAGGGGTGGGCAGCAAGGAAGAGCAGATATTCTTTTTACCAAGGCACCCTTTGGAGTATCTAGAAACAACAGCCACAGACTGACAGAGAGCAGATTTAGACTAGACCTTAGGAAGAACTTGCTTATGGTAAGGGTACCGGAATCTGGAACGGGCTTCCAAGTGAGGTGGTGCTCTTCCCTACCTTGGAGGTCTTTAAGAAGAGACCGGACAAACACTTGGCTGGGGTCATCTGACCACAGCTCTCTTTCCTGCCCAGGGCAGGGGGTTGGACTCGATCTACTGAGTTCCCTTCCCACCCTGAAAATTGATGAAATCTAATGGTGCTACTGCCACCTCCCAATGTGGGTGGTCATCTTCACAATCACTCTGGCTGTTAGAATGTGCCTTCCAATACAGAGACTGAGTTTTGAGACTCAGACTTTTCTTTACTTGGAGCCTTATGTCGTTTTTTTCAGCTGTGCAAAATGAATGAGAAGTGTCACCAGACCATAACTCTTTTGCTCACACTGCTATTAGAGTTTGAAAGAGGGTGCAGATAAATTTTCACAAATACAAATCATGCACGTTGCAAGAGAGTCAAGGAACAGATCCTTAGCTTGCAGTTTGTGGCTAGTACTTCTTGTCTTCCTTGCTCTCTTTGCTTTGCTTATTCCTTCTCCTTCCTTACTTACCTGTATTTTCTCTTGAGTATAAGTGGTAGGATTATCTAAAGCTGTTGCCTGTTCTTCTAGAAATTGAAACCACAGAATATTTAGTAACAGTATAGAACAGAATATCAGAAACAAGTCAGAAAATAGAGGGGCATGGCATAAAATATGCATATGCCTTATC